TATAAAAACATCAAAGAAAACAAACAAAATATCCCCAGATATAAACTTTAAGAACCAAAAAGAAGATCTGGAGGACTTCAATCCATCACTATCTAATTGGGGGCAAGCTCTTGCAAGTTATATGAACAACTATGAACCTGCTAATATTGAAAACAATCAAGCAACATGATGAGTTTTATTGTCATATAGAATGGTTCAATGAAACTTGGATCTTTGTTCTACTAACTCCAGTTATCTCCACAAATTTCACTATCTACAAGTGGATGTCCCTTTGATACAACTTTACTATCTCACTCACTATTTCTCCAACTTTGCTTAGAAAGAAATGAGAATACTGATATGGGTTGATTGTTGTTTATGGGTTTTCAATTTCACAAAATTTGAACTAAGATAGATCAACATAAACAACATAAAACTAGGCATGGTGTAAGTCTCACATAACACTTGGTGTAAGTCTCACTAACTCCAGTTATCTCCACAAAATTTAAACATTCACATTGGTGTAAGTCTCACATAACACTTACATGTTTATTTTTTTTTTGTACATCGGAAATAAACATAACACTTATATGTATGTGTGAGGTCTGCACCCATGTTACATTGGAATGTTCTGTATATTCTTCTCTTATGGATGTAGAACTGAAGCGCAAAAATGCACGAATCATAGTAAAGGAAAAAAATCACTTCTGATTTTGACGCCTAAAAATAATATTGCCCACTTTGCAACAGAGAAGATATATGGTTTGTCAATAAAGTTACAAGCAGAAGCACCAGCACCTCAAACTTTATAGTGTTCATATTTACACGAGCGAAAACTCTCCAAGAGGAACAGATCTCTTCACAAGTTTAGCCCAAGATTCATTGGTCTCGGTGATTACCTTAAGAGCATAATCCTTTTTATTCCAAAATAATTAATTTCACTAATTAAACAACAGAACAATATCATATAATAGAATTCAAAACATAATCTATAAATAAATTAAATTTTTTTTAAGGACAATAAAATAACAACAATATGGAAATCCCATTCTTAAAGAATGACATAATCAACTCTTGTTCTTGGATTCAGTCTTTTCCAGTGGTTTGACAAATACTTCAAATTCATGAGCAAAATGAATATGTTCAATGCACATAAATTTCTATTTGTTATGTACTTATGCTGCATGACATATAATTTCCTAATCAAACACCCTTCAAGATGGTTAGAACTGCATCTAAACAATGTAGATTGATTGAAGCATAGAAATCATAATACCTTGTTTGCTGCCTTGTTACCAAGACCAAACTTTTTTGCAGGTTTTCCATCAGGGATCTTGTAGTCTCTGAACCAGTCTTTGACTGCAGTGAGAGTGCCCTGGAGAAGTTACCCAGTCAGGCCCGTGATAACTATGCACAACAATTAATTTACATAGGTGCCAAATCAATTTTTAAGCAACCTATGTCAACTTATATTTCTATTAACCAGGGACTACCATAGTTTGCTAATAAATAGAACACCTTAGCCCTGATTACCAACATTGCAATGTAATCAGAATGATGTACATATGCACCGCTGATTATTAACATTTAAATCTAAATCACACCTTCATTCACGTTGCTTGAATTTAATGGCTTTGAGTAACCAACACCGTAAAATATTGACTTTCACACCAATCATTGGTCATGCCCTTATTAAGATAATTAAAAATAGAAGGAAGAAGAAAAGGAAGAAAAATGTTGTATAGCTCAAATGTACTTAAGACATAGATATTGTATATAATAAAACCAGTACATTGCTAGTGCTTCTAAGACTATATTTGTCTTACAAAATTCCATACCTTCTAGTGTTGTACACATTATCACATTACCATTATTAAAATTAATAACTAAAACATTTTGTGCAATGAGTAAGTTCGACCAACCCAACTAATGCTCATCCTAACTAATTGGTGTAGGCTTATTATTATACAAGAAGATGTTAACCAGTTATAGATCCATCCCCCGAAGGAACCAGACAAACAAAGAGCATGAGAGCAAATGATATGTCACAGATGTTACAAAAGTCTCAGCATGTATATCTACAATGAACTCTCTTTTTTTTACTAGTATTTAGAAGAAACTAAAATAAATTATTGCTTAGTTCAACAAAAACATTATCGAAAAATGCTTTTCCATATCATCAATATCATTAACAAGTGAAGCTCTTGGATCATCCAATGAAATTGCAACTATTTTCCAGTCAAGTTCCCCTTCATCAAGCATTGCTAAGGCAGCTAATGGCCTGACCTTCATAATCTGTCCTATCTTTCCACAAGTTTGACTAATCTCAACAAGATCGACTACAATTCGAAGAAATTGGCAAATTAAATTCAATTATTTTATTCTTTTGCTTTTGGTAGAAGAGAATGCTTAGTAAAGAGGTAAAATGAGATGAATGATCAACTAGTACCTGGATCGTTATCTCCAAGTGCCCTCTCAACTTCAGAGTTTGCAAATGATGGGTCTTCCCACGTTTGTGGAAACAATCCATAATTCCAATTTATATTGTAACTGAGAAAGATAAAATAAAATGATTCAGGAGCTTAAACTTTAAGAAACTCAAATTCCAATATAAAAATTATGGAGAAGTCATGTAAAGAGAGAATCCAGGGTTTTGTGATTAGAACAACAATGGCAAGAAGTACCAGAGATCTGGCAAACATCAATTTGTTAAAAGAAATAAAAGGATAAACAAGTTGGCTTAAAAGTTCTCATATTAAAGTTTTTTGGGGGTCTAAGACAAAATCAAAAAAAGGGGCCAATATATGTTCATAAAAATAAAAATAAAAAATCAACATGTTTGGCACCGCTACTGGTGATTGATATCAAAATAAATATCTAAATATATTTATTTCAGAGTACCCATAAAAAAAAGTTACCAAACGGTATAGTTCAAATTAACAAAACAAACTAATTTAATCAATAAATCTAATTAATGAAATGTTACAACATTGTGAAGCACACATAAATGATTTCATAGGGTATTAAATTAAAGAGTGGGACAATAATTTGTTTTCACCAGCATGTGAAGCAAACATAAATGAAAAGGAAAGATGACCATATAATCAATTTTTCAAACAAAACACACAATTCACTCATTATCTGATATCTTATAGCAAAGAAATTATGGAACACAATTTAATGAAACAAAATCAAGACAAACAAATTAAGGAAACTTTATTCAATTAAAATATGATAAAAACATAGGGTAAAATTATTTATTCCATTAAAATCTAATAGTTTATGAGAGAGAAAAACTAGGACAAAATTATTTATTCCATTATTTCAGCCAACAATACTTGTATATGTTTTAATTTATTTTTTTCAATTAAGCCTAATCACATTTGTGATTATAAATATTTTTTTAAATTGGGCCCAATAGAATTTTTTAGAATATCCTTTAGCCTGTTCCTAAATCAATGAAAATAAATTTGGCCTATTTAAATTTTGAATATACTACTAATGAATTTGGGAACCTTATTTTGGGGCCAAATTTTGGGGGCTAAGACACAAGTTTTAGTGGCCTCAAGGCCAGCCCTGAGTCTACGATACCAGAAGAATCTATCCAAATTTTTCTAGGTAGTAATACTACAAACTAGATTTAAGTATCCATCAATTAGCTTGAATTATCATCTATGGTTTAAATTTATTCTACACATAGACCCTACACTACACAAATTCATTTTCAGCCACATAACTCTCATTCGCGGTAAATTCGAGATAAATAAGTGGGGTTCATAGCATTTTCTTTTATATATAGTGTGTTTATGTAGTAGAGATTGAATTGGTATAGTATAAGATTCAAATACAAATGAATTCGAGTTATAAATTAATGCATGTGGATAAAATTCAGGATAAAATTTCTCAATTTGTAGTATCACTATTATTTTTAAGATGGTATCAAAAAACAAAAACAAAAACAAAAACAAAAACAAAAAGTCATTTTCTTTGAAAGATATTTTCAGTTGAAAGAAGGGAGCACAAGTTTCTTTGTGAAATAAAATCTCTTTCAAAAAATACAAAAATAAAAAAAATAATTTTTTTTATTTTTAGGTAAACAGATTTAATCAACTTGATTGCCTTCTATATGACCTTTGTTGTCACAATTGTTCATTTTTCTTTACACAAAACGTCAAACTTGTAATAAAAATTTAGGGTGAGTTTGGAATCCAATTAAAAAAATTATTTGCTCGGTTAAAATTTTTCAAAAATACTTTTCAAAAAATTTTACTTTCTTGCTTTCCGTGTTTTTTTTTTTTATTTTTACTGAATTTTTTTAATATTTTAAGCAATTTTTTTTTTAATTTTTAGACATGCCTAACATAAATATACCTAAAAAGTAAAAACTTTGAGAAAAAAACCTTTTAAAAATTCACTAAATATCAAAAATATATAAAAATATATATGAGAATTCAATACGTTTTTTTTTTTTTGTATTTTTATGTATTTATTAAAATATTTTTTCATAAATTTTTTACTTTTTAGATATATCTAAGTAAGGTGTATCTAAAAAAGTAAAAAAATGTTTAAAATTTTGAAAATATTTACTAAAAACAAAAAAATACGAAAATCAAAAAACTCAATTGTCAAAAAACTTAATCTAGAAAACTCAAACCAAACACTTATCTTTTTGAATTTTTGTTTTTAGTAATTTTTTTTTTTCCTAATTGTGATTAAATTTTGTCTTTAGTCCGCCTAGTGTAGGAAGATCTCAAAAGTAAAAACTAATTTAAAAAAATTCAAAAAAACTTCATCAAAGACCTTTTTTGGGGGGTGTTAGTGGACTTATATATATTAGTCGTAGAACTTAAAAGTATAAACTTTTAATAATTTTTTTAATTAAAAAAATAGCAAAAAAAGGCACTAAAAAAAATATTTAAAAAAAATCAATCGTAAACACACATTTAGTAGGAAAGAACAACATACCTAATTCAATTGCATCCACTCGAATATACTAGTCTAATCCTCCGTTAGTGAACACTCTTGTATTTGTCTAATTCTCGTACCATGTGACAAAATGCCCCTACTCCACTCACATAAGCCAAGCATAAACAATTTCTCCAAGTCCTTGCACCTTCATTACTTATTGAAAAATCTAGAAATTCCCTACATATTGATTTGTGATTATATATCAATTTTAAGCAGTATACAACAATCCCAATCAAACAATCAAGACAAATCGACATAACGATTTTAACGTAGAAAAACCACAATTGGAGCACCTCCAACTGTGATAAAAAACCACGGGCAACAGTCACAAAACAATCCACTAAGAAGATATAAAGGAATTACACAGATATACTCTCAATTACCTAGCGAATCCACGCCCGAATTGAACCAACCCCTATGTGCCTCTTCCAGCTCCGTCTTCACCTCGGAATTGTCTTGACGATGAGCCACTCCAAAATCCACCAAAGCATCAGGCTCAAATTCTTCAGAATCCACCGAAGAACAACTCTCTCTTTTGTATAGAATCAACAAACAAACCTTTGATGTATTCTTTTTTACCCATGAGTTGAATACTCAATTAAACATCAAAGAAAACTAGCAAAATATCCCCAGATGTAAACCTTAATATCCAAAAAGAAGATCTAACGAAGTAATCTAAAATCTGACAGAAACACGTACTTATATAAATCTGAATCGCGAAGCTCGCTCGAGTGAGGAACCAAAAACGCGTGTTTTTCCATAAGTGGCTTCGCCCGAACCACACAACCTTTGCTCGAGCGTACATTCATCCTTCTTAGGTTTTTTGCCCGACGCAGCCTTCGCTCGAGCGAGCAAGGACAGACAGGTTTTTTGCCCGACGCACCCCGGACCCGCCAAGGGGCGTTGCCCTCTGGACCACCGCGAGCTAACTGGCCAGCTCGATCCCCGTCGTAATCAGCGAAGTGGCAATCTTGAAAGTATTAACATCACAAACTTCTCTGCAAGACATAATTCGGGTTGGATTCGCATCTAAAAACTTATAACCTCACTGAAATAAAAAGTGTGAAAGCAAGTACAACGGAAATGAGTTTTCTCAAATGGGATTGCCAAGAATAAAACCTAACAATCTCCCACTTTGGCAATGCCGTGACAAAACACACCTAACACATAAAATCCTAAACACCCCAACCCATTATAGCCAACAAAAACAAACTTCTTTTTGACGGTCAGTATCAGCAAAACAGCTATTAGTGCCACAATCTCCAAAACAACTATTAGTCCCACAAGAGTATATGAAAAAACAATAAACATATGGCTAGATTATCTTGAAGCATTTGAAGCATGAGATGGAAAACATGAATAGATGCGACTTGGAGATTTTAAGAACATGTAGCATGAAAACCTGAAAACTAAGACACATGCACCTGACACATGGCATGAATACATGAAATCCTAAGACACATGCACCGGATAACATCACTCCCCGTTTTTGTCATGAATTGACAAAGGAAGCTTAATCAACTAAACGAAGATCAGAAACCACACAAGCAATGACACGATGACGTAAATATGAGGAGCATGCAAGAAGGAAATGATCAAAGTGTTCATGCTAACAAACTCTTGCAATGATAAATCAAACTCCCCCTCACTAAAAGCAACCACAAACATTGAAAATAGTGAACAAAAAGCAAACGACAAAAATAATATGGTGGAGCAAGCAAGGAATTCCAGATTTGTACCTTAAAAACACACAAGATTCTCCAAGAAACACAATTACTTGAAAACACAATGTGCACAGTCACTACAACAAAAGCAACCTATAGTGACGAAAAGTAGTGAAGAAAATAAATTTCGCCACTAAATAAGAATAATCCGTGACGAATTATAAAATTTTGTCACATATAATAAAAAAGTAAAAATAATAGGTGTCGAAATTTATTTTCGTCAATAAATATTTCTTTTTAGGCGAGGAAAAATTAAATTTCGTCACCAAAGGTTTTCCCTCTAATTTTTTTGGGTAGCGCCAAAATTTTGAGACTTTTGATGAGAAAAAAAATTGTCATCAATTATAAAATTATTAGTAAGAAATATATTTTTGTCACTAATAATTTTTAATATTTTAAAGATTTTTTGGTGAGGAATTAATGTTGTCACCAAAAAATTTTGAGTATTGAGCAACATTGAAAAAACAATAGGGTTCTAGTTTTTTTTTTCCCCCCTTTTCTGTTTATCATTTCCTTTTCCGTTTATCATCTCTATCTCTCTCTCTCTCTCTCTCTCAAAACACACACACCTAATACTCTCTGTCATCGCTTTTTTCCCTCGCTACTCCCCCTTTAGCGCCTGCACTACCGTTGGCCCTTGTTGCCTTTCTACGCCGCGGCTGACATCGCATCTCTGAGCAAGCCTATTGTTCTCTCTCTACACTGGACTTGTATAAATAGGGCTCCACTCTCTGCATCAAACCCAGGTTCTTTTTCTCTGTTTTTTCTTGTATTCCATCAATTTGATTGAGCTATTGTAGAATTTTTATGGGTTTTCAATCTTCACAATTTTTTTTAGCTTCTACTCTGGCTTTATTGTTGATATGGTAAATAAATTTTGAATTGTTTTCCTTATTGAGCGATTTAAAAGCTTTGATTTATCATATGGGTTTTCAAGTTTCATTTATTTTTTGGAATTTTTTTAGTAGTTGATGTATGTAGTTAGCCATTAATGCTCTG